AAAATCTTTAGATGGGATATGTCTGGCTCATGACCCGTGAGTAATTGGGATGGTGAATAATTATGTTCACTAGATGGCCTTATGCGTATAAGCTCTGATGCATGTAAAACAGCGTGTCCCCAAGCGGCTACTGGAAGCTCCGACCTCATGAGTAATGGTCGAGCTATCAATTGAATTCGTTTAATGAAGGATTCCGCTAATCCATTCTGTGTATGTACATGTGCCACGGGATGTTCCACACTTACCCCCATGGACATACAGTAGTCATTAAACGCTTGGGACGTGAATTCACCGGCATTATCTAGACGTATAGTCTTAAGCGGAAAATCTAGAAAATGGGCTCTCAGTCTTATGATCTGGGCCAACAACCTAGCAAACGCTTGGTTTCTAGAGGGTAATAAACAAACATGCGACCATCTTGTCGATGCATCAATGAGGACCATGTAATATCTAAATGTCCCACATGGTGGGTGTATTGGTCCACATATATCCCCTTGTATCCTTTCCAGAAAGTTTAAGGTCTCTTTATTTACCTTAGCCGGTGATGGCCTTATAATGAGTTTCCCTTGTGAACATGCTTCACACGTGAGATTCTTAGGGATAACTCTTTTCTCTTTTAGGGTGTGCCCCCTTGAATTTATCATAAGCTTACGCATCATACTATGACCCGGATGGCCAAGCCGGTCATGCCATAAAGTGAATTTCTCGATGAACTCTTTGTTCATTGCCATATTAGCTTCGATCATATCGATTTTAGCATAGTAGAGACCAGTGGATAATGCGGGTATAGTCTCTAGGACTTTCTTATGTCCTTGGGTGATCTCAATTATATTTAGGAATTCTTTATTCCCTTCACCCTTTGTTTCAATATGGAAACCATTCAATCTTATATCTTTGAAACTTAATAAGCTCCTCTTCGAGCTAGGTGAATATAGGGCATCGCTTATTTCAAGATGCGTGCCCTTAGGTAAAAGAATATGGGCTTGACCATGGCCCTCAATAAGACTAGCTATACCCGCTATGGTGCTAATATTAGCATTTTTCAATGTTAGATTTATAAAATATCTTGTCTTTTAAAATTGTGTGGCTCGATCCACTATCCACCACAAGTATGTTCTTGTCCTCAGCCATTTCTAATATGGACAAGAATCATGTTTTAAACATAAAATAATATCAAATAAATTCAAGGAGATAACAATTAATGAACACATAAAACGGCAAAGAAAACATAGAGGTTTTGTGTCGAATTCAGATTTATCAACTTGATTCTTTTAGGCAATCAGAATTTGCATACTCCATTAAACTATCTTGATCATGTTTACCATCTTTATAGACCAAATGGGCTTTAGGATTCTTCCTTTTTACACTCTCTTAATAGAGGTCACAACAATGTTTGGGAGTCCTACATATCTTAGCCCAATGGTTCCCCATTCCACATCTATGGCACACTGATTTGGTCGAGTGTTGTGGTTTACAAATACCACAGCCTCCTCGCCCTCGACCATGGCCAAAATTGGGTCTACAACCACAGTTATAGTGGTTCCCACGGCCGGATGAGTTATAGTGGCCACAACCACGTTCTTTCCATCCACCGCGGTCACGGCCGTGTGGTCTATCACTCTGGACGTGGTTAGATTCTTTGGATTCTTTCTTATCCTCTGCGGCCTTATTGGCATCAAGTAATGGGGTTAATGTATAAGGTCTTAATTTATTGTTTCTCATCAGTAAGTCATTATTTTGCTCAGCTAGCAATAGACTCATCCACGGACTTATAGTTCCTGAATTCTGAGACTCTCAATAAGATGGTGGCTAATAATTAATATTGCCTTGTATCTATCTTTCTCACTTGGCATTATTGCCTTATGTGATACATTCACCAAGTCCTTTTGACTTTAGGATAATCTTAGTATCCATTGCCCATTTTAAATAATTATTTCCTCAGATATTTAGGGCAGTAAAATACAAGTTGTAATTCGACATCTACAAGCAAAAAAAGGGTTTTGAGTAAAGATCATGTAATCGTTAATGTCATGCGGTATTTAAGACCGAATCATGAATCGATTTACTTAAGGATTTGACTTTCCTCTTAGGATTAAATTTCCTCTTTTAGGGATTTCCTATTTCGATTAGGTTTTAGGTTTTCCTATATTGATTAGGATATATGATTTCCTATTTTAATTAGGGTTTAGAGATTTTCTATTTTGAATAGAATTAAGGATTTTCCTATTTATAATAGGATTTAAGATTTTCCTATTTAGAATAGGATTTAGGGTTTTTTAGATTTTCCTATTTCAAATAGGATTTAGGATTTAGAAATTTCTATTTTGATTAGGATTTTAGATTTTTTTTTTTTAGTTTTTTTCTTTTTACTTAGGTTTTCCTATTTTATTTAGGATTAAGCTTTCTCTAGGGTTTTGGTTTCTAGGGTTCATGCGATATGAGGGTTTTATTTCTAACAATTTATGCATGCAACCAATCATAGAAACAATCAATCTAAACAACCTAAGCAACCTCAATCAATCGGATTTATTAACTTCGAATTTTAGGGTTTCGATTCGATTTAAGTTTCTTTCAACAATACTATTTAGGGTTTGAATCAATAACTCTCCTAAGAACAAGCGAGCAAAGCAAGCAATAGCAAACACTTTGATTCAAACAATATCCGATTTTTAGGGTTGCGATTTCTTTAGGTTCAAGTTCGATGTTGGTCTTTAGGTTTTAGGGCTTCAGATTTTACCTTTCACCTTATGGGGTTGTACGGATATGAACCGGGAGCTAAAGAACTCGGTTTTCGAACTTGATCACGAACGTTGGGAGCTTGGAGGAATCGCGAGCACCTATTGATCCGATCGTAAGCTTATGACCGAGGCGGACTTAGGTTTTGTGTGAAGGATTTTTCGAATTAGGGTTAGGGATCGTTAAGAGCAAGTCGTGCTGATAACGTGTTATGAATCTCGTGTATTCTTATTGATTAATGAATGAGGTTACAACTTATATATATACACAATAGGGGAGACAAATCCCAATTGGACTAGAAAACACTAAAGCCCACTAAGACTAACATAAACCGTCTTTGGCCTTGGTCGATTGGGCGAGTCTTCTAGAAGCTAGACATGGGCTTTCTAGAACATGGACATGGGCCACGGTTATGGAGTCTATCCGTTATGTGGTTTACAACAATATTAACATTTTTCAAAAATATATTTTTGAAAGAACCTTTGTTTTCTAGAGTAATAACTAAGAGCAACCCCAATGGTTAGGATCTTTAAAGGATCCTTAGGAATTTTCTTTTGTATTTTTTGACAAATATAAAGTTAAGGATTTGTTTAGGGCTCTTAAAAATATTCATGTCCAACGGTATGGATCCTTAAGAGATCCTTAAGAAAAACAAAATTGAAAATAAAATTTGGTGTTTGGTGTTAGAGTTTTGATTGCTTGAAAAGAAAGATAGAGAAGACAAAGTACACAAGTTTTTGATACATTCTTGATAAACACATTTTGAATAACATATATTCATGAAAATATGACAAAGTATACACGATTCATTTGAGAGCAAAGCCAAAGTTAAACTCAAAGTATCCCCATTTAAGCTTGAGGATAACAGTCCCACCATTATTATCCCCTTCTCTACGCACCACTGCAACTAATACCAAAATCAATACATAGATTTTATACATAGACCAAATCTAACCAAACGAATCAGAGACAAATCATCACAAATAGTTTTAAATCTCTAAGATTTGCATAAACAAAGGAACAATTTATCAAATCAAGACACATGTAACCAATGTTATTCATAACCCTAAAACGATGATTAACCAGAGAAAAGTGACATATATTTAGCAATAAACAAGATAAACAGAGATAAAATGAAGATCATCACCAAACCGATTCTTCTAAATCACTAAGAAAAGGGTTTCTACATGAAAGATTTGTGCGTAATCACAAGGATTAGTGGAACGGTTGAACCCATGGACCTAGATTCAATCACACGCTTCTGTTATGAAATAATCGGAAGCGATTTTTGAAATGATTGACGAATCAAAAACAAAATAAAAATCGATAAGAACATGATTATATTAAAGCTGATTGATTTGCGTTAGTCGGAAGGTTTTTGATTCAATCGCAAGAATACGATCTCATCCATCAGATTTCATCACTGTGATTATCTAGACCCGGACGATGATGATCGGGACAATGTTCTTCGTCTTCGCCGTCAGAGATTACAAGAGAAGAGACGTTGTAGGCAAGATTGAAAGACAAACAACTAATGTGGTTTTCAAAAAAGTGTTTCCGAATTTGAAGAGTTAAGAGAATGGTTTAACATAGCTTATTCTCTAAAGGTACGATTACTTCACCATTGTTACTTGCCTGTTTAAATTATCTTTTACACAAGCCCCTGCACATATCGTAGTAAAACATGTTCCATTTTCTTCATGTAGGTTACTAATTGGCAAAGCAATGTTGAAGACAATATCAAATCAAAGTTTAGTATACCATCCCAACTAACCTTTGGGAGGTTGACACTGTTTTTTTCTATAGATTATCAGATTCATTAGTAAAGTTATTGATTTGCACTATAATTTCGTATATCCAAACCACATTTACCAGACAAAAAAAAAAAAAACAAAATCTGAGTTATTTCATTACGCAACACTCAAAACTGTATTACTAAATGTACACATAATTTGACAACTCTTGGAAATGAAATGCAAAGAATAATGACACATGAATATTTGTATGTTACAACTTCTATAAGAAAACGTTATACATACATATATATATATATATATATATATATATATATATATTTGGTTTAAGAAATAAGAATCACCTAGTTTGGAATTCTAATAGTCAAATAAAGACATAACAGAACATTTATTTATTTTTTTAATTTATGTGAAAGTGGCGGAGGCAAGTGTAGTGAAGGGGGGTCAACTGACCCCAACAAAATTTAATTACCTTTTATGTTTTTTAAGAAATTATAACATTGACTCCACTGAAGATTTGACATTGAACCCTATAAATTTGACTTAAACTCATGATTTACTTAAAAAAAAGATAGAAAATCCATATTCTTCTAGCTACAAAGACTTGATCCTTTAGATTGAATCTAAATACATAATACAATAATTCAGACAATGTAAAGTTTTCTAAAATTTGGGCTTATAATTTTTTTTTCCAAGTGCATTTCAGTGTTCTTTTTTGTTTTGTATAATTTTGACCCCAATAAAAGTTTGTCTTAGCTCCGCCACTGTGTGAAACAACATAAAACGACAACTAATTTGAAACGGAGAGAGTACAACTTATAGTCCGGCCATTGTGGTTGAGACATAGCTACTACCTTCCAATGCAACACTTCTTAAATACCCCAAACTCGCGATTTAGCTTCCAACCTTTTGTTAAATGATATCAGAAAATTGAGTTTGATGAAAAAAAAAGCTACCGCTAATTTCCATTCTTTAAATTACACTAAGAAAAAGGTTGTAAAACAAAAAAAAACGAACAATAAAAGAAACCCCAAAGATGGTACTAGACACACGATATATAGTGTCTGTAAAATTCTCAAAAATCATAAAAGAAAGAAAATGCCAAAGAAAAATAAGGAATGTGTTCCAAAAACTCAGATCTATGTGTTGATCCAAACATAAATTAAAGAGAATAGTAAGTCTTCATTAAAGCCACCTTCATCGCCAGAATCAGTTAAACCTCCATAATTGTTCTAGTCCTCCCCATTGTCATCACTTCCATCACTATTCTCTTATTCACTGAAAAACTGCTCAGGAGAAGTATACTTGTATTCCACATCCTGATCATCCATCTGAGTGTCGTAGCTGCAAGATCCATAAAATTAGTCAAATATAACAATACAGTGAGGGATTAAGAAATAAGAACCAAAGGAGTTAAATAAGAGAGCGAACATCACTCTTGGATTTGCCATTTGCTGGTCAATATATTCTTCATAGCTAGATCAACGACGACCTTCTTCATCGGAAGAGTAATCACCCGTATCCTCTTCAGAATCATATTCTTGGTCATCATCATCATAATCACCATGTCTCGTTTGTAGGCATCCAGCAGAAGGGCAAGTCCTCTGGTTCTTCTTCCATTCAATCCCACATTGGAAGCAAAACTGATATCCACATCTACACAATGCATGCACAAAGAAAACAGTACGAAATGAAAGTATTCGAATGAAGTAGAATACTAATCGAGTTAAATAAATATATACCTGCAAGTCATGTGGTTGCAGCCATAAGAAAGTTCAATCATGTTCTTACACTTTACACACTGACGCCACTTTTTGTCCATTGCCAGAAACTTTAGCTTCAAGTCATCAATTAGAGGGTCAGGGTGAAGTTTCTTGTAATCAGCACACGACAAATCAGAATGCGATGGTACTTTGCAATCAATGCAGAAGAGTCCATAGCATTGGACACATGTCCTAACATTGGATTGGTCTGACGCTTCATCGGTTAATTTAGAGAGCTCGGTTTTGGACATCAACATTGAACAGTTTGGATATGGGCAATAAATTCTCTCTGCAGCGGGAATCGAGTCTTCTTTCATCTTTTGTTTCCACATCTCATTCAGCTTTGGTGTCAAAAACTTGTTACAGTTTTCAAGGGTGAGAACTTGCATCCATATTCAAGGCATGTGGGAACAGTTCCACTAAGCAGCTTCACTTCCACATGCTTTTTCACACAAGAATAGCAATGACGGTGAATGCATTTGTCGGTGGTAAAGAACATGCGCTCGGCATCGGTTTCTTTAACACAAATGCCACATATTTCTGCCTTCAAGTCGTCCCTTGAAACTATGGCTTCTCTTGCAAGTCTAAAAGCAAAGTTAACATCGTTCGGGGCGACCAAATCAACGTCATTAGAGGTCATATCTTCTAGAAGAAGTTGAAATTCGTCCACTAGATGGACAATCTTCTTCTTAACCTTCCCTCCACCAATAATCTGCAATGTAAATCAGAATTCACTCTCATTAAAACCAAGACATTATATCATCATTACAAAGAGTTCAAAGTATATTCTAACATGCAATATCAACAATTTAGCCTCTGACTATTCCACGCTACAATAGTAGTCTAATGATTCAGAATAACTAAACCAAGCACTAACAAAGAAGAGAAAACACTCATACCAAAAAAAAAAAGAAGAGAAAACACTTACATATTGGTAAATCTGTTGGTCATCGCAATAAACCATGACGTTTCGGATCCCAAAATCCAAGGATTCTCTTAACCCACGAATCAATGCCTTGCTCTCTACTTCTAAGCAGCTTATCTCAGTGTCGCTAAGTGATTCCTTAATCTCATACAACAAATTATCCTTCTCATCGCAAATCGCAACTCCAAATCCAGCCTTCTTAGTCTTCTCCTTACCGTCCACCACCGTCTCTTCACTCACCAAACCCTTGATGTACAATCTGTAGACGACATTGTCCAAAAATTTTGCCACGGCAGAGTCAGATTGGACGACTGTAGAACCACCCTCGCCTTTAGGGTTTGTCGTAGAATCTAAACGCCTTTTTTTGTAACTCAAGTTTAGGTCGTGTCTCTGCATGTCTGTTTAGTGTTCAAATAGTTTTATTGGGAGAATCTGAAGACTTATATATAAGAGGAAGAAGAGAGAGGGACTAAAGCGTGCTTGAGAAGTTGCCAAATAAATTCTAATTAATTGCTTTGAGCCTTTGATATAAAAGCACCTTAATGTAATTATTGTAACCGTTTTTGTTTTAGTGTCGATTGATTTTTCTATAGACTTCAAATTTCCATTAAATGCCATTGATGATACTTTTAAAGTAAACTTATCATTTCACGAATCCCACCTTGGTCAAAACCCTAGTTCCACTAATCAACCTCCCAAGGCTAACCCTAAGTTTTTCTTTGATAACTATTGGCGACTAACCGGGTGATCGAATAGTGTTGGTTAATTATTTTGCCGGTTTGCGTCCTGATTTGGCAGCATACCGAATTGATTAAGTTAACCGGTTAATTTAGGCATGGGAAGAGTGGTAAGCCATTTGGGTATTATGTTGCCAAGGGGATTTACTTTTCTGAATTATGATCTTCTTTAAAGCTACGGATTTAAGCAAATAGGTGACAATAAAAAACCTAATAATGTGGTCTTTATTTGGTTCGTTATGGTTACTACTTAATACTTAAAAATGGCTAAATCATGTCATTTTTATGTTAAAAAGAAACATAATGTAATGTGTACATGTCTCTGCCTAACAACTACAAACAGAGATGTGAATCAAATTGTTTCTTTTATAAAGTAGTGATAATGTTAAGCATACAGCACGCTTTTCAGTCTGAAATTTTCTCCAGCAATTTCTCTACCATGATTCTCTGTTGTGTCCCACTTAGAGTTTCAGAATTCATCAACGCATTGGCGACGATAATCACGATACGAGGAGCAGCCGCATGCACCTGAAACCAGACAGAAGATATTAAAACATGCGATTTCAGAAGTTATACATTGTTTGGAATCTTAAGAAGCAATCACTATTTTTCTTACCCAACATCTCCCATTTAAGCCAAATGCAGTCTCAAACGAGAGTTTCTTCCCAAGAGCTTCGAGGACCGGGCAAGTTGGTGAACTCAACAACCTAAGAAGAACAAAGTGTGTGAGAGAGAGAGTCAAGAAGAGGCGGCTTCATCTAGAAGAAAAATCTAGGAGTAAGACTGAAAACTCACATTCTTGATAAACCAGTTGAAGTTTCAAACATGAAACCATCTTTTAAGGGACCAAATACTGCAGCCTTTCCACTTTCTATTACATTGTCCAACAATCAATTGCTTAGTCTAAATATTAATGCAGAGAAACAAGGAAAAGATTAACTTTTTAAGCTTTGTGATCACGGACTAACCGTCTACACAGGACAGCTCCGGGTTCATTCCTGTGTTTGTCTTCACAACCCGAGTATAAAGCAGAGTGCTTACCTGTTTCAACAAATTGTTAAAACTCCCAAAAACACGTGATCCTTATATTATCACTTCATACGGCAAATCCACTTGAAATAGAGCTCAACTCCAGACGAAGTAAAAGTGTCTATTATGCCCATAAACAACCAATGAAGTACTGAATCCTTTCAATATCACACACAAGCCATGGTAATTTCCAGGGGAATTCCCAATACACTGTAATAGCCATTATAACATCTCAAGCAAGCAACTGAATGCAGTTACCAGCTAGAGACTATTTTGATGATGGTTCAGATTGAACATGCATATTCAGAAGGTACTTGCCTCAAACTTGGGATAATTTCTTTTGTTTGCTCCTTCAAATGCAAGCACAGGTAAAAGAGCCAGTTGTGGTCCTTTAATGTCTACCCAATAATTCTGCAATAAAACATGAGTCAAAACGATTTACAAAATATTATGATCTACTTTGTCACATGCAACATGCTTAAACTTTGGCTGATAACTCTAGGGGAAACACCCTAAATAAAGGCTAATGCCGTTTTATTTACTTTCACGCCTACTTGTTTTCTTCTGATCTAAACTATATTTCCATGCTCTCAAGTTTTTATTAATATCTACATGTTACTAACAAACAAGCTGAGCAATCATTGGAGTCTTTGGATAATGATAAAGCGCAACAGACATCAACATTCTATATAGACATGATGTTATACAGAGAATAAAATGCTTGAGCTTCAGAGGGTCCAAGGGAAAAGGATCTCTAGCAAAATTGAAGGATCGGCTTTAGAGTACTTACTTCTCCCTTACAATCTACCACAATGCCAAGAACATGATCCTCAGGACGAGGTATATACTGCAAGAAAAACCATAATAGCAGAGTCAAAATCGAGTTACATGGAATAATCCTTCAAACCACCACTTTTTCACAAGTTAAGCGCAGATGAACAATCAAATAACTGGCGATAAACTACGGGTTTAACTAATTAGTTCTCACCCTTTTATGAGAACTTTCCACCCAATACTTATTTGGCTTAGAGTACCTCAACTTCCCTGCTCTCATAGCAGATATCGAATCATTATCCTGAAAGATCCACAAAATCATATATCAATCTCATAGAAAGTTTATTCCTCAAATGCCAATGTTAGATCCAAAATTCAACTAAGAAAACATAATTTGTTTAATAATATGAAATTCAATCATTCATTCTTACACATAACACAGAACTGAGGAAAACAAAAAGTGTCAAACTCCAAAAAAAAAGTTGAAAGATTTGTAAGAAGTGTGATTTGAGAAAGTTAGAAACCTGACGGAGACCACTGCCGAGCTTGATTGTTTGGTTAGTCATGTTTGATAAATCAAGAACAATATCACCTGGAACCTGGAACCCATCTCATAAAACTTAATCTTTCAATCAAATCTCAATTTATAAAGATAATCAAAGAAGCAGAGATTTTAATAGAAATTACGCACAACAGTCTGATCAATGAGGCTTGTCGGCGAGGTAGAAACTTCAGTACCCATCTTTCTTACTTCTTCGGTAACAAATAACAACACCAATGGATGAAGACAGAGCACGAGCAGAACTGAGAGATAGAGAGAAACAAGAACCCTAAATAAAATTCTAAAACCCTAAAGTTTATGGCTTTGGGGATGTTCAAGAAGAACAATTTTCGGGTGAACCCAATTCATTCACCCTTTTTAATCACCAATCAAAATTTGACATGTCATCTAACTAAAACAACTAATATTATCTAAACAAAATAATTAAACTAAATCATTAAAAACTAAAAATTAAATTAATTGTGGGCCCTACTACTCTCTCTCCCACGTCTCTCTCTTTTGTTTTTTTTTTTTGTTTTTTTTTCAAATATTGTTTTTCAACTATAATAAAAATGTAAAAAAAATAATTTAGTTTCATCAGATTTAATCATTAAAAATTAAAATTGAATTAATTGTGGGGCCACTAACTCTCTCATTCACGTAACACTCCTAAATCCAATAGAAAAAAAAAATTTAATAAGTCAATAAAAAACCCTAATTCTAAATGTTTTATAAAGTCATTAACCCTAACCTTATTCATAATTTTTTTCTATTCTTCTTCTCACATATCATCAAAAGAGATTAGTTTTATCAAAGGAAAGAGTTTCATTTTTTCTATTCTTCTTCTCACATATCATCAAAAGAGATTAGTTTTATCAAAGGAAAGAGTTTCACGTTTCTACACAATTTAAACGTAAGTCAAAATAATTTTTATATTTACATCAAAGTTTCTTAGTTTAAAAATTAGTCAATTGAAAAGTATGAATAATATTTTGAAAAGATACTTGGAGAGTAGTTATGACTTGTTGTCCTTCTTTGAACACTATGAGAGAGTGTTGGATGATCGGCGATATAACGAGTTAAATGCTGACTTCAAAATGATGCATACCTCTTCGGTATTATCTGCTACCGTAGAGATGTTGCAACATGCAGAGGAGGTGTATACACCCAAAGTTTTTAAGTTGTTTCAGAAGCAATATACAGTTATCGGTGATTATGTTGCTAAAAAAGTCAGTAAGTCTGAGATGGTGTATGAATACAAAGTATCTTATCGTGGTGGACCGCGAGAGCATTTGGTTAATTATGATGCTACAAACCAAACGATACAGTGTAGTTGCATAAAGTACTCTTTTGCTGGGATCTTATATCGTCATGCATTGAAAGTATTGGATAAGAAGGATGTTAGGAGAATTCCATCTAGCTACATCTTGAATCGATGGAGTAAAGAGGCAAAATCACGAAACATATTTTCTTATCGTTCAGAGACATTTAATGGAACAGTAACGCAATCGATTGGAAAGCGTTATAGCCATTTATGTCACAATTTTCGTGAGATTGCATATGTTGCTGCTGAACATGTAGAATTGACGATGTGTGCGAATGAAGCTGCATGTGAATTGCTTAAAAAATTGGAGGAAAAGAAAAAAGAACTTGTGAAGGCTAATGCATGGATGCTCCCAACTTCAAATGTTGAACATGTCGAAAGAGAAGAAGAAGACGAGGAAGTTCTAAATACACGTGGAATTAAAAGAAAAGCTACTGTTGGACGACCAAAGAACAAAAAGGTCGGACCCCACGGTCGATATTTGAATGCTCTTGAAACGAAAAAACGGGGTACATCAAAGAGAAAATTATCGTTTCAGGTATTTGATAAATAATTCTTCTTTTTCGTTTATGTCCAATTTCCAGCAAAACGTGACTTCGTCAATATATGTATATATATTAATTACAAGATCAAATTGATAAATGCTTCAGGACTCAACTTTTGCTACCAGCAATCCGACATTACAGCCAGAGCCATTTTCCTCGCAAGTGCTACAAGTAAACTATTCATTCTTACTATTTATATTTGATTTTTCGGTGACTTCGTCAATAGATGTATGTATATTAATTACAAGATATAATCGATAAATGCTTCAGGATTCAACTTTTGCTTCCGATATCCACTTATCTGTAGCTACAAGCAGCCCGACTTTACAGACGGAGTCTTTTTCTTCATAAGTGTTTCAGGTAAATAATTTACTCTTACTATTTATATTTGACTTTTCGGTCAAATTTTTCATGATTTGAAATCTTATATTTTGTAGGAATTTGACAAAAGTTACGGAGATTTATTGTAAAGCTCGATCATTTTGAATACAAAGTCAGAAAACATATGGAAATGCTAAAGCTTTACTATTAATTATTTTGGTTAAATTATTTTTTTTACATTTTTTATTAAAGTTGAAGAAAAACAATATTTGAAAAAAAGAAAAAAGAAAAGAAAAGAGAGAGACGTGGGAGAGAGAGTAGTAGGGCCTACAATTAATTTAATTTTGAGTTTTTAATGATTTAGTTTAATTATTTTGTTTAGATAATATTAGTTATTTTAGTTAGATGACATGTCAAATTTTGATTGGTGATTAAAAAGGGGTGATTGAATTGGGTTCCTCCCTAGGGGTGAACCCAAGAATTGTTCGTTCAAGAATGAAGACGATCCATCGGAAGTTGAGAACCCCCGAACCAAGTTTTAGAATGGTTTGTTTCGGTTTAGTTCGGTTAGCTATAAAAGTCTTGTTTTTTTTTTTTTTTTCCGTTTCTGCCAAACCAAATACTAGTATACACTACTATCGTAGTTCATACCAGTAATGAGATAAAATAACAAATTTTACACTCCTTTTCAACGATTGCTCTCTATTTTCACTTCAAAACTAACCTGGTATACGAATGAACTATACATTCCGGTTTATCATCGATAGATGGTAGGTGTTTTTGGTTAACAAGAAACATGACACTAATGGTTTCACGGGTTAAGATCTGATGTAGACATGTGTGTGCATTTAGATTAATTAATTACATTAAGATTTAAGAAGAATCTGAATCACAAATTCACAATAATGGATTACATCACTAACCAACTTTCTTCTCTACACATAACCACCATTATTTCCATCTAAATGGGTTTTGAGTTTACTCTGTACATATACAATACCCTCTATCTATATAACTATATTCTATCTTTCTCTTCACCTTTCATGTCTTTCATTTTCATCTTTCAGAGAGCTTGTAACCCGCATTGCGGAACTCACATGCTTTTCATGTTGATATTCTCCGCATATATATCTGCCATCATCTTCCTCAGTTCATCCTCAGAAGCAGTCTCATCAAACCCTAAAAGCAGTTGCACCTGAAAATATGCCACATTCAAATTTAAAATGAGGAATCTAGCTTGGCGATTTTGAGCCATGGTTATCATATTAACATTTGAATATGATTTTTCTTGCTATAGATTAAAAGTAGATGTACCAATTCATATCTTACCTCAATCTGACCTTGCAAGGCATTTGATACTTCAGTCAGATAAGTCCTCTCTCAAGTTACACTGCTCACCCATTGACAAGTTTGTGTTGTTGACTTTAAGCCTGTCATGGAGAATTTTGCAGTCACTAACCAACTTTTTTCTTGCTTCTAGCTTGTTCTCGACTATTTTCCTTTCCTGTTGGAGGAGTTTCTGGAAAATTAAACATGTTTCAGTATGTTTTCATGTTCTTTCTGTAGTATCATATTACATATACCACAACCGCATGATGCAACCAATAATGTAATGCTTTTCATTTTCAAGCTAAAGATTTACCTCAGTGTCTGACCTCTCTGTCAGAGATCGAGACAGCTCCTTTTCTAGCTCCATATGTGAACGTCTCAGGGATTTGACCTCTCTGACAAGCACCTTTATGTCTGCCTTTGATTTTGACTCCAGTTCAACATACCGTCTAGAAAGATCTTCCAGTTGCTGTTTTGTGGCATCCATTTCTTGTATCAGCTCATGGCTCTCACCGACTGTTGAGTTTCCTGAAGGCTTACCATGTGAGCTCCCATCCTGTATTAGTTTGCAGATGTCAGCAAGCTACTTTGCTAGAGAGAAATTACTTCTTGATGTGAACTTGCTTAGTTGTGGAAAGAAAGTGATTGACATGGAATTATATCAAATTTCATTACCTCTTTTGACTTTAAATTCAGTTCCATCTCAAAAGTTTTTTGCCTGAATTCTTCCATATCCCACTGCATCTGGGTAACACTCTGCTTCTCAGTCATCAAAGCTTGTTCCAAATTCTCTTTGTTTCTCTGTTTAGTAGTTTCAAGTTCCACTTCCAGATCATCAACCTGAGAAGGAAAATCAAGATTACATATGTAACATTAAACAGAATGTACTGTTACTCTCTTTCATGTACCTTTCTGTTCAGATATTCCTTCACCGCTGTCTCTTGATTTAGTCTCGCTATAAGATCCTCCATGTCTGTTTTTGAATTGAGAAGTCTCTCATTCATAGTTAATAGAATCCTATTTAATTTATTATGCATTTTCAGCGGGAGAACTATTCGTCCACTACCCGGCATCTCCAGGTTACCAACAGATATACCATGATGTACATCCAGCTGGATACCAGAGATTGATGTCTCACCGGCTAGTGATGGAAACTCGTTAGTGCTCTCAGCAGAAAGCTTTCTATCATGCATCACTGATTGACTTGTTTCTGATTCAGAGAGACGTCGTAAGTCGTCGTTTGCTCGAAATACACCTTTAGAAGCTTTTCCATTGTACAAATTTGCCTCTGTGATATCATTGGCATATCCTAAGTGGACTCTGTGCTTAGGAAAATCATCTAGCTGCTCGATAATAGTTTGGCTCATACTCAGTCCCTTGTCAATGTTGGACATGGTAAACTTGACGAGCTTCTCTGTTGGATTTGTCAGATCTTCATCCAAAATTAGATCTCCAGTACCAGTTTCAGAAACATCATCCTGACCTAAACTTGCTGATCCAAGCTCAGATGTTTCATAAGCAGTATCGCTGCTATAGTCAGATGAGAGCAAAGAACTGCCACCAGAATGTAAAAAGCTCAAATTTGGGTGAACCAGAGACGGTAAGATTGTGATATTTCCATCATCATTGGAATCAGAAGCATTCTGATCTACAACTTGGCATGCTGGAAAAACAAAACATCAATATTAGATTCTAGTGATGGACTAACCACAGTTACTTGAGCATAGAATTACTAACTGCCTTCCAGATATTCACACTATCTAATGGGCTCATACCAGACCTAGCAGTAGCTTCTAGTTCGAGGAAGGATGCAACTACAACACTTCTAGCCAATTCTATATTAGATAATAGCTTCGTCATCCAGTCCTCCAGAGAGTACCTTCTCTGCAACAAGATCACAACTTTTAAATAACCTATTGCTTGTTTTCATGAATGAGTGAAATATAACTCTTGATTACTATGCTTTACGTATACTTCTACCCCTGAGTCTACAAGAAATCTGTGTCAAATTCTTGATTGACGAAACTCGAAACCCCAAAACCAGGAAAGCACAAAAGATAGAAATTTTGAAAAGAACAGCAACTCAATTCACAAATATCCACAAGAGAATGCATACCTCTTCTAACATTTCTCTGCTTTTGACACGCAGAATTCCTCTAGGAGGAGCTGATGGAAAATTTTGCTTAGGAAATGCTCTTTTGAGCTGTAAATCATATGCCATAAAACACAGTGCAATTAACTTGTTTGAATCACACACTGAGAAAAAAAAAACTACAAATCATGTTGAACATCACTGAGTTGAATAAGCTTGAGAATCTTACATCTGCTAAAAGCTTTAGAAAATCATTAAATCTCTTCAGAATTCCTCGCGTTGTAGTAACACCTTCTAGAGATTGCACACTTACCTGAACCCTGTAAAACTGTACCTCAAGAATGTCACATATATTGAGCGAATTCCTACGAATAATTCATGAAAATACACAACTTAAGATATATTCAAGGGCATGTTGATCTATAACAACAAATAGCCAATATTCGTCTAAACTGCGATAAGAACAACAACTAGCTATTGAAAAATATAAACTATAGAGAGATATTCAACTTATTTACCACTATAGGATCAGACTTTCTTGATTTTGAAAGAAGTGTCCATGATGGTATAGTGACACAATAACTCCATCCAGTTCGAAAATCATGAGGCCAAACTGTATCTCTACCATTCTGCACAAAACAACACAAACTTCTCCATTTTTTGAGTAGTCCCTTAAACTCTTACCTCACAATTTCCCTAATCTCAAATTGTGATAGCAAAACCATAACAGAGAAAGAAGCTAACAAAGCATCTCACAGAAAGAGAAAATCGTTGAGTTCTCGGAAACTGTAGAAACTCACCCAAATACGCGGCGGAGGACTCCAGTCCATTCCCAGTGGAAGCGGCGATGTTCCATCGTGTCTATGTTTCGGTGGACTCCGTCTTTGCATAATCTCATCCAAATATGATCTTCCGATCACATCCAAATCGGAGACGAGATCGAGTTTCCGATTTACCGATCCAAAAAGCAAACTACTAGAATTTGGGGAAGGGAGATGGTAAATACTAAATAACAAATACGTTTTTAAAATTTCCCAATTTGTTGTTTACTTAACAACAACTTTAAACTACTAACATTCGGGTATCCGGATCCGATCAGATCGTTTCTTTCGGGTTTTGGGTACATTCGGGTAGAGTGTTCTAGGCCCATACAAGTATTTTAAAATTTTAGTTCGAGTTCGGTTTAGGTTCGGATATTTAGTTTGAGAACCGAAAATATCTGAAATATTTTCGGGTTAAGATAGGATTCGGGTTTTTATCTATATATACCCAAATCTAGCCGAAATACCTGATTACCCAAAAATATATTGGTTACTTTTTACCTAAATATAACTTAATTTATCTAAAAATATCTAAATTACCCGAAAAAAAACTAAAATATTGGTTATTTTTTACCCAAATGTATCCGAGTTACTCAAAAACATCTAATATATTCGGGTATATAATTGTAAGTTTGAGTAAATAGGTATAATAAGTATAAATTAAAACAATATTTTTAGGTGTATAATTGTATTCGGGTATCTACGAGCATTAGATTCGGTTCGAATTTAATTCGATTTTTTTGGATAGAAAAGTTTAAGATCTATTCAGATATTTTTAAAAATCGGTTCAGGTTCAATTCATATATTTTTTCGGGTTTTTGTTTCGGGTATTTCGGTTCCGAGTATTTTTCCCAAGACTACTTTAAACTATAAAATAGTCAACATTAGTTAGCAACAATTTTGGACTCGGAGTTTTTTTCAATGGTCTTCCTCGGTTAAAGCTACCAGTAGCTAGTTGTGGTAGCACATGTATCCAACTTAATCATCGCCACAATTTCATGTTTTGGACTGGTTCATTTTATATCTATATATAATAGACGCCACCTTGAAGTCAAATAGTAATCAGAAACATAATCTAAAATTTAATTATATATGTGGATGTGAATTTGTGATAATGCATATATTAGCTTTGATTGGTTACATGAAATGGAAGTAGTAATGATTGTAATGCCTCTAATGTAACCAATCACATGAATTATACAAAAGTGTGCATTACAAAATATAGACATTACATTTGTTTCTATGAAAATAGAGTAGTAAATGTAAAGGTACTATAATTAGATTGTACAAAATGAAGTGGCAGTACAAAATTGTGAAGTAGTGTTTTAAATGTTTTTCTTTTTCTGAATTATTATTGTTTGCTATAAATTATTTTTTAGTTTCTTCAATCATATAAAAATATTTCATCTCCATCTTTTTTTCTGCAAACAATCTTGTATTTCATTCATTTTATCCCCATAGGAGCAAAGTTTACAAAATCTTCAACCAAGAGGTTGGGAACAATATCCTTAAGAAAGTGAAAGCGTACAACTTGAAAAGACAGAGATAACTGATAAGCCATAGAAAATCGGAGACATAAGCTATCAAACAACATTCCACAAACGAACTTATGGTGTGTCAAAGACACATCCACGATCAAATCAAGGAGTTTTGTAATAGTCACTATCCATAGATATGGTGTTGATAAAGTGTTCTTTACCTCTTGGTTTGCCGGAACAAAACACAAAGACAATCTTTTTCTGATTAGTTTTTGGTAAAAAATATGCCTGAAATTTGGAATAATTTCTTGTAGTGGAAGCGGTTAAGTCCCAAGCCACTTTGGCCTACCTTAACGCATTTCAGACTAGTTAAAACCTAACCCGGATAATTCTAGATAAACGCAAAAACCTACAGTCATTCCAACAATTATATTTGAGTTCGTATAAGAAAATTTCTATTTTCTGGTTCGTGACAACTTCACCTTAAATTTTTAAAGCCTCTATGTGAATTAGACCAATGTAACCTCGGTGCCTTTTGCCTTTTGGTTCGCCATTGGTGTCTTAAGTCTCTTGTATGGTTTTCCTTTGAGTTTAAGTTCATGTGTGTATATTTCCTATCATTTTTATTTATTTATTTATTTATTTTTTCAATTTGTTGTTATTATATTTACATTATTAGCTTGTTCTAAAATAATATTCATAGGATAAATCTTCTATATTTTTCATAAATTTCCATCTTCTTTTTCTAATTTAATTTAAAAACACAGTACTGCTTTTGTATTAGTAAGTTTTGTTAATATTTATATATTTTTAGCATTTAATTTTTGAATGATAAAAATAAGTAGTATATGGAAATAAAAGTGTTTGACAAGAAAAATGATAGAATTAAATAAATAAAGAATAAAAAGATGAAATTAATTGTTTGACACATAATCACCAAAGACTCTCTTTTAATATATAGAGGATGCATTACAATATTTGAATATATATTTTTAACTCGATAACAATAATAATGGTTACACCAGAAACCCACATAAAATATTACTTTATTTTGTCATAAGACTTCTAATCGTAAATATGATATGAGATTTATTGTAAATAAATAATTATTAAGGGCAATCATAACCACACAGACAAATAATTCGTCCCTGAGATGATTTAATGCATCTACCATGTCCTTTTGGATTTTTCTTCAAACACATGGACCGGCACTCATCGTGAACACAATTGTTTTCTTTTAGAGTCGCCCAACATCTTTTTTGGTCAACACTCATATTTCCCACCACTCCTGTCATATGTTTAAAACATAATAGCTTAGTCTCTATATATAAATAAGAAAATACGACTTTATCTATTTTTTTCAAGAAGATATATATTTCTATGGATATTGAAAATATTATTAAGAGATTTAAAACATTAATTAAATATATTTTTCTTAAAAGACATGCAATTGTAACTGAATTTATAATTGTATTGAGAGAATAGAAAAATATTATATCAATTTCCATAGAAAACTATATAACATCAATAGTTATGAAACAAAAACCTGTATTTTGAAACATTTATATAAGCAGCGCGGAAAAAGAAGAATTGGCTATGAACAAACTAAAAATCAATAGAAGTATGTTTAATCAATTCATGTCACAATAGTTCCTTATAATATGTTAAGAGTTAAGACATATAACTTTACAGAATCAAGGAATTCTGAAAATATTAATTATTGGGATCAGTTTGTTAGGGATAGCTATGGTATGTATTGAGACATAGAAAAAGCTAAACGTGATACTATGCCAATCTATGTTGAACAAAGATTTGACACAAATTTATATAGCATAGGTGAGTTGATAATGATATATTAAAATTTTATATGGTATTTAAACTTATTTTTGGTCGACTTGTTTTTATAAACTAGAATTTCTAGAGGAACAATAGACATGGGAGTTTCTTCTTGTGCCTCTGTTTCGGAAGTGCTTGACAATCACAGGAGACGAAATCATTGCGTGAGTATACTCAATCTGATAGAGGATCAGATTGACCAAGTTCGACTCCATAGAAAGGAAGAAGTTGATCGTTCTCTTTGGAAATTCAAAGAAGATGGCTTCAAGAATATGTTTTCCTCGAAACACACTTAGAATCTGATTCAAGAACATAAACCGATTAGCGACTGGCACAAAGCAGTTTGGTTCTCGTTCTCTACTCCATATCACTTTTCATCACTTGGTTAGCTTACCATGATCGTTTAGCAACGGGCGACAAACTTAGGAGCTGGGACGTAGCGGCTCGAGTAAGTTGTGTATTTTGTTGAGAATCATTTGGAGACAAGAGATCATCTTTTTTTCTCTTGCCCCTACTCATCTCAAGTGTGGTCATCTCTCACAAGAGGTATCCTTCAGTACCGTTATGCAGCAAGTTGGAGCCTGGTCTCCTCTCTTTTGCTCGACACTTCTCAGTCTAAGTTATATACTTTCACGTTAAGGTATGTCTTTCCAATTAACAATTCATACTTTTTAGAGAGAGCGCAATGGAAGGCGTCACGGTGAGACTCCTACACTATCTACTAAGCTCGCAAAACTCATTGACAAGAATGTAAGAAATCGTTTTAGCTCCATTCAAAGATCGGGAACAAATGCGTACGAAGGGGGGCTACAATACTAGTTTAGTACTCGTATCGTTGAAATCCTATTCTTTGTTTTCAGGTTTTAAAATTTTCAGCTGGTTTTAAATTTCAAACAATCAAATCTCGAAGTTGCATTCTTTATACAAACGTCTTTTTTTGGTGAATAAATTTTACATTCATTCAAAAAAAAAAAAACTACAATTTCTACAACGATTATGCGTGATATGATAAAACAGTTTGAAACATAAAGACATACCTAGCACAAAAACGGTGAAGATAATCAGAATGATGAACGAGGGTTGAAAGTGTTTCTTCATCGTAGATGATAGAAATGAATTAGTAGTGTTTTAAAAATTGAAAATAGATAATAAAAAATAATGTAACTATATATATAATAATGTAGCTATATATAATAACGTAGATGTAACTCCTATTTAAGCATATCTAATTTAAGCTATTACCACCACGTATTCCGAATTAGAAGGATTTCATTTTACCCACAAATTCAGTTATTTTTTTGCTTATATGACATGTGAAAGCCGTAAACTCGCACAATTTTTTCTGCTTTACCATATGACCATGATTTCCCAATTTAAATACAAATGATGAAAATTCAAAAAAAGACCTAATCAAATTGATCCTTATTTTTCTTGTCAATTCGTTTGTTAAATTTTTTCTATATATAGACATCTCCGACTTGATTCTCTTTTTTAGATCTCATGTTCCTAATCCAATGCTAGACTTTGTTCCTTTGTCTTTGTGCGAGACAGTTGGTCAGCATGCGTAGTAGTAATACTTAAGATCCTTACTATATATATCTTCCAAATAATATGTGCTAGGGTTTCGAACATCAATCTTATAAGACTTTACTATAGTCACCTTGAAGAAAGTGCAATCTACAATTAGTTTTATACAAATGCAAGTGCAATATTAGTTGAAAATTTTGCTCTCTGGAGTACTTTTCTGAAACTCAATCTCTTAATAGAGTACATTGGGGGTAGTGAGTACTTATTTAAGTTTTTTTTATTATAATACCCTCAATGTCTAGTTACGTTTTCATCTTCTCATTTACTCTAAATATTTTACAATAAAAAACTAAAATAATTATTATGCATTTCTTCTCTTCTCTTTCTTCTCTCTTTCTTTCATTTTTCCCGAAGCCTAACAAATAACAAAGTCTTTCTGTCGGAGAACCTCCGTCGTGAGATCAATTGTATTCGCTCGTTCATCATTGTCCATCAATCTAAGCTTGAAAACTTTGTTTAGATCCACAATCTGTATTTTTTTCGATGGCGGTACTTGCAAAAACGACAAGGTTACTTCGATTGATCTCGATTTCAAGCCTCTCAACGTCGGATTTAGTGTCATGGCTTCATCTCTCACCGGTTTTGAGTCTCTGTTTCTGGCTTCAAGTGCTCTGCTTCTCTTACCAGCTTGGATCTATTACCGGAAAATGCAATGAAGCGGTGGTTTGAGAAGATGGAGATCAATCACTGGTAACGACCATGCCGGACTCGGAGGAAGATTTGGCTTTCACCGGTAACAACCACGCCGGACTTGGAGGAAGAATGTGAGAGAGAGAGAAGAATAAAGAGAATTGAAAAAATTAAGATTTTTTTTGTTTCCATGTTTTGATCAATTTAGTATTGACTATTTGACACATTAACATGTAGATTTCTCCGATGTTCTACCTGGGTTATAAAAATCAAGTCTTATTCCTCGAGAAAAATTGAAAATTAATACTCGTATCAACATCACAAACAATGCCCTCCAAGTGTTCGGCATAATTACCATGAAAGACATTCTTGGTTAGATAAACCAAGCAAATCATATTTCAGCTACACAAGCAAAATCACTAATGATGGACGGTATAACAACACCTATTTCAGCTCCGTAATCATAAATACTAACGACGAACAAAATATATTCTATAACACCAAATCTGAACGAAGGCTACATAAGTTGCCAAACATAAATGAACAAATTCTCATCCCTGACAATCCACAAATAAGTGTTCATTAGGACACCATAGGTATCCATGTAGTATCGAACAAATGGATATACACTTTTAGGTGACAGTGTATCCACGTAGTAGATAACAAATAGATATGCACTAGAACAAATAGATGACAGTGTATTCACTGCTCGTAAATCCAACAAAGATCCTCCGATCCACTACTACTTTCTCATTTTCTATGAAACCAATTTTGATACTAGTCAATGTTTGGTTGAGAATTTGTTGTTAGAACATCAAACAACGATGAGTACCTAAAAGAGAAGTCTAATAATTTTGATAATTTTCTAAGATTCTTTATGTGCTCAATATATATTTTTAAATAGTTGTTTATGTAAATTATATATATATATATATATAAATAGTTTTTTTATGTAAATTTTAATGTAAAATTAAAAAGATTCTACCATGCGTTCAAGATTCTGTGGATTTTTTATATTTTATTACTTAAAATATTTAATAAATATATAATATATATGTGTATATATATTTAATGTTCATCAACTTATTTGCTCTAATTTGTCTGAAGTTCGGTGGATGTGCGTGTATGGTCGGTAATTTGAAAAATGTGTTGTAAATTTTGATGTAAAGTTATAAGAGACTGTCATGTGTTCAAGATTATGTGGATAGTTTCTATTTTATCCCTTAAAAAAATATTTTTTGTGTCAATAACTTCCCACACTTATCTGAATCAATCGCCGTTATTATTGTTGACTATTATATATGACATATTATGGATGGCATATAATGGTTGTCGTATTATGCATTATGAATGATCATGCATAGAAAAAATATTATGGAAGCCTCTATTTCGATAGGGATGAATATATGTTTTTTGAGAATGAAGAGGTAAAGTACACCTAGATTGAAATGACCACGTGGTCAGAATACAGTGGATGAGGTAAATATTAGTGTTTAGGTTTTAGGGTTTAGTGTTTATGGTTTAGAGTTTTATATTTAGGGTTTTAGTGTTTACTTTGTAGGATTTATGGTTTACGGTTTAGGGTTTAGTGTTTTGTGTATAGGGTTTAGGATTTAGGGTCTAGGGTTTAAGGGTTTAGTATCTATGGTTTAGGGTTTAGTCTCTATAGTTTAGGGTTTAGGGTTTAGTCTCTATGGGTTAGGGTTTAGGGTTTAGTCTCTATGGGTTAGGGTTTAGGGTTTAAGGTTAGGGTTAAGGATTTAGAGTTTTAGCATTTAATTTGTAGGATTTATGGTTTACGGTTTTGGGTTTAGGGTATAGGTTTAGTGTTTAGTGTATAGGGTTTTGGGTTTAGACTCTATGGTGTAGGGTATAGGATTTAAGGTCTAGGATTTAGGGGTTTAGTATTTATGGTTTAGGGTTTAGTCTTTATGGTTTAGGGTATAGGGTATAGGGTTTATGGTTTATGGTTTAGTGTTTGGGGTTTAGGATATAGGATATAGGGTTTAGGCTTTAGGTTTTAGGGTTTAAGGTATAGGGTTAAGGATTTAGAGTTTTAGCATTTGTAGGATTTATGGTTTACGGTTTTGGGTTTAGGGTTTAGGTTTAGTGTTTAGTGTATAGGGTTTTGGGTTTAGACTCTATGGTGTAGGGAGGTCTAGGATTTAGGGGTTTAGTATTTATGGTTTAGGGTTTAGTCTTTATGGTTTAGGGTATAGGGTTCAGTGTTTTGTGTATAAGGTTTAGGGTTTAGGGTTTAGGGTTTAGGGTTTAGGATTTAGGATTTATTGGAGACCAAATTGGCAAATTACGTCATCCTCCACCACAGTTCCACTACAAATCAAACGTGGTCACCGATGTGATACTAAACGCCATGGGGAGTAAGACGGTGAAGCTGGCGAAAATAGATTACATTCTAGCACACTTTTTGAAACTTGAATTACGTTATATTCTAGCACACTTTTGTGTCATAGCACACTTTTTGGTGTTGACATATGTGTTCATTAACTTGTGTTTCATCATCTATAACACATCGTCTATATGGATATGATTTCATGGACGTGGAGAATGAAAATCATATTTCACCATTAAAAGTGAGGTGTTGGAGGGCGATATCCTCACTTTGTTCGATTCTTTGAGACAAGCCAGAAGACTTCGTTGATACATCGTCTATTATTCTTAAACATACTTTGTTATGGTCATCGTCTAATGGATACATTTATGTGGACATGAAAATGAGAAATTTATATCAAGAAATCTTGATGATGAGCTTTTAATAACACAAGTGAACTTGTGTGCTTATTGTTAGATGAACATATTAGATGATGGATGCGAACATATAGATAGTCAAAAGAGATTGCATAAACAAGATCGTCTCTTCATGAAGAAACCAAAAATATCTAAGAACTAATAATTCAATTCATCTTTCCATCAATATAAGATTTGATTCAACAAAAGCTTTGCATTAAAATAAATCTAAGATTTGAGTCTGCACAATCACAAAAATCACTTAATCAAAAAAAAATGCTATAATCTAAATTCATCTAAATTCAATTGCTAAATCTTTCTTAAATTAAAGAAACGAAAGAAATCATCTTAATCATTTTTTCCTGACACGACTCTGAGATCTTACTAGATCCAGACTGTATAAAATCCACCAGCTCCAACAACGTTTGCCTCTTAATCTCCCTCTCTCTCGCGTTCTTAATCGTGTCAGTGAAATCGAGTAGGAAACATCAATTCTGGAGTTTCCTCAAGAACAAAGATTGCCTCTCTGAAATCGGCACATCCCTAAACAACGGGAGTACCTCCACGGAGCCCATAGGCGGAGGTGGTGGAGTTGCAGTCACTGGCGAGTACCCCGTAACCCGATCCGAGTTACAATTACCGCCTCACTGATCTCTTTTATCGGCCAAATTTCAGAATTTCTCCAATCTCTGCAACCATCGGCGATGGATCCTCCTCCACCGCGAAACCCTAGCCATGATAATTCCAAGTATGAACCAAACACTACATCATCAATTCCTCAAAGCGACGAATCCTCAACGCTAACCGAAGTGTCATCGATGAATCCTCCACCTCCCAGAAACCCTAACCTACCTGATCTGAAGACAACGGAATAAGTAGTAGAGCCCGAACCAATGGAGGAATCCAAGGACGATTCCGTCGCTGTAGACGAAAATAAACCAGTTCGTACCCGAACCGTGAAGCAGAATCCAGTCCCCTACACTATTCCAGAGTGGAGTGGCCCTCCGTCTCACCAAACATAGGAGTTCGTTCCGAACAGATAAGATGGTAGTTGGCTATCAATCTTCTTTAGCACGAGTAGATCCCTATTCTTTTCAGCTTGAAGTTCTTAAAGAAGGCACCATTGTTGACAAATTAGACGTGTAAGTAAACTTTTATGAATCTATTGCCTTTGATATCTCGGTTTCATGTAGTGATTATCATAATGTTATTGCTTTAATTTTGGATTACATTGTTTTAATTGCTTTGTAATGAATCTTGACAGTTATTCAGTACAAGAGAAGTGGAGCCGCGTATATATTTGATCTTGGAAGTACGCATGGAACGACGATTAATAAGAATAAGGTGTTTTATTTGTGGATTCAGTATTTTGTATTCTCTTGATTGAGCTTTGATTGAGTTTCAGATTAGAAAAAAAAAATGAGAGAGAAAGAAGGATAAAGATGGTTGCAGAGGAGACAATGGCATTTTAGATCTAAGAAGAAGAGAGAAGGATGACGATGGTTGTAGAGAGGATATTTAGGTTTTATTTTTCAGTTTTGTTTTTGCAGTATATTCTCCCACTTACTATCAAATCTGTTTTCTACTTTAAATCCGACGGCCAGAATTAAAACATGTTCAGTTACTTTTTAACTATTTTAGTTAAGCTTTTGTAGAAAATCTGAGAGCAAAATTGTATTGATTTTTGTTGTACAGTGAAAAAACCTAAAAAAAGTGTCTACTCCCACCAAAGTACTCATATTGCTCAAACAAACTGAAAAAGTGCCCCAAAGTGTGAGAAAACCCATATTAGTTTTGAAAAAATCTTGTCCTAAATTGCGGGTAAACTTTTAACTTTTTGAAGAAAAATTAATATTTAATTTTTAATTCCTAGTCACTCGAAACTAACCATTTCTCCTTTGCGTAGGGTGGATTATGAGATCCGACACCAACAGTTGTAACATTTATTTATTTTGATTAACTGTTGTAATCTTTGCTATTTGATGAACCATTGCAATTATTAGTATATTTGATGAATTGTTGCAACTTTTATTATATTTGATGAACTGTTGCAACATATTTTTCTAGGCAATAATTAAAGATATATAAAAGCAAAGAAAATTTACTAAATCAAATATTCCCTCCGTCCCACAAAGATAGATTTATCAGATATTTCACATTCTTTAAGAAATAATGTAAATTGACAATTTTAACCTTTTAACACATTTTAAGGAGTATATTATTTATTATTGTTTAATAAGGGTAAAATAGGTAAACTGTTTTAAATTTGACATTGGAAATACAAAACTTCTATCTTTGTGGGACAAATTTTTTTTTCTAAAAAATCCATTTTTGTGGGACGGAGGGAGTATATTTTTGGAGAGAACCCAAATTCATCAAAATAATAAAAACAAGCATTTTTTTTGTGAGATTATGTTGGTTCATAGTAACCATCATCTCTCTAATTTATGGAATCTCTTTTAAATGCTAGGTTTGAGATCGAGGAGCAATTGGCAGATTTTATTATCATCTCCGATAATAATAGTAGTCTCAACAAATCAATACAATAAAAACACTAGGAAACTCTCCAGCATCTGACACATCAGCAATTTGGTGTATTCTAGAGCTGAGACATCATTAAAAAGACAAACCAATCAAAACATTTCAATTAATACACATCATCTCTCCATCTTGCTACATCATTTTTTCACTAAAAAAATACCTCATTAAAATTATAGCCAATCAAATTAAATTAAACAATATACACTACAATTTTTTTTATAATAACATATATATTTTTAATTTTGTTAAAAGAAAAACAAAAACAAATAAACATCTATTTGTATATTCTAGATTTGTTTTCACGGTCTCATTGTCTTATCTGTTTCGATTCCTCCAAATTAATTTGTAACTTTTATATATTTCAATTTTAACCCATTGTTTATTTCAAATATTAAAGAAAATCAAAACGAAAGTGAATCGATGAAAAAAAAATGTGTTACAATTTAAATTACTACAACAACACTCTCGGTCATTATCTTTTCGTTTTTGCAAAGTGAAAGCACAAAACTTAGTAAGATCCAATTTCGTAAGACTTTTGATGTTCTTATTTTGATACTTCATTTATTTTATGATTAATCCAATTCCAAAAAATTAAAATCATATTTTTAAAAATAAATTAAGTATCAATATGTATCAAATGATATATCGTCATAATATAAAGAAAGTATCAAAATAAGAATTTTGTATTTTTCTATAGGTAAAATAAAATTACTGAAAAAATAAAATAAATAAAATAAAAGACACACTTGAAAATCTGACATCAAGAGTTTGAATACATTAGATAAAATATTGAGTATACGCATGCATAATACATAAATTTTGATATGGAGGGATAATACAATATATTTATTTTGTAAAAGTAATATATAGCATATATTTATTAATATTGTATATATATATATATAATATAATAGCTAACTAAATCTACTAAAATCTGATAAAAGGTAAAAACTCAAATTTTAGAAGTCTTTTAAATCTGTATCAATCATATTTATATTAAAACAAAATTAATATTAAAAATATTCCGAAGTATAGATAAAACACCAAATCTTAGAAATCTTTTAAATTGTTACAAATTATACTTATATTAGAACAAAATAATATTTAAAAATACACATTATATTAATATTTTCTAAAAACAAAGGTTTAAACTATAGCTTAAATTTAATATAAATTAATAAATCAATTACGCTTTAAAAAATACAATGTTAACCAAATATAATAATTATTGTATGCAATTCAATAAGTATTATATTAATAAAATATAATACATATAAAATATAAATATAATACAAATAAAATATAAATCAATGTTAGCCAAGAATAACACAAAACCAAATTAAATTAAAAATATGTATTTGTACTTTGACATACATGGAACTATTATTCAAAACAGTTATATTTTAAAAAAAGAACAAAAGAGAAATAAATAAATTTTCTAGCAACAAAAGATATATAAAATTGGGTGATTAAATTTGTATAAACTACAAAACAAATTAAGAATTGAAATAGAGACTATAATTATAACTACAAAATCTAACCACATAAAAATCAAAATTAATCATGAGAAGTAATTTTACCACAAACCAGTATCCTCTGATCACAAATTGAGCACAAAAAGATAGTATTTAATAGGCTCCAAATTATCTTTTTGTAGTAAGATCCAATTTCGTAAGACTTTTGATGTTCTTATTTTGATACTTCATTTATTTTATGATTAATCCAATTCCAAAAAATTAAAATCCTATTTTTGAAAATAAATTAAGTATCAATATATATCGTATGATATATCGTCATAAAATAAATAAAGTATCAAAATAAGTATTTTATTTTTTTCTATAGGTAAAATAAAATTACTGAAAAAATAAAATAAATAAAATAAAATACACACTTAAAAATATGACATTAAGAGTTTGAATACATTAGATGAAATATTGAGTATACGCATGCATAATACATAAATTTTGATATGGAGGGATAATACAATATATTCATTTTGTAAAAGTAATATATAGCATATTAATATTTATTAATATTTGTATATATATAATAAAATAGCTAACTAAATCTACTAAAATCTGATAAAAGGTAAAAACTCAAATTTTAGAAGTCTTTTAAATCTATACCAATCATATTTAAATTAAAACAAAATTAATATTAAAAATATTCCGAAGTATACATAAAACACCAAATCTTAGAAATCTTTTAAATTGTTACAAATTATACTTATATTAAAACAAAATAATATTTAAAAAAATACACATTATATTAATATTTTCTAAAAAAATGGTTTAAAATTATAGCTTAAATTTAATATAAATTAATACATCAATTTCGCTTTAAAAATAAAAAATGTACATTTACATAAGCCTTACAATTTAACTTATAAAACACATTTACATAAATTGTATATTATTATAAAAAATCTGATAAAAACGGCTTACAGAAATCATATAAGGTTTTTTATAACGATGTATATGTGTTTTATAAGTAAAAAGCTTATAAACATCTTATAAATATTATATAAGCTTATAAACATCTTGTATAAATTTTTATAAAAGCTATAAAAGCATATAAAAAATATCATAAAGGTTATAAAACCTTATAATATTTTATAAATATTTATAAGATGTTTATAAGTTTATATTATGCGGTGTTTATAAAAAGTATAAACATATTACATATTATAACATCTTATAACATATACATCTTATAAAAATATTATAAAAGGCTTATTATATACATCATATAAAATATAAATATAATACAAATAAAATATAAATCAATGTTAGCTAAGAATAACACAAAACCAAATTAAATTAAAAATATGTATTTGTACTTTGACATACATGGAGCTATTATTCAAAACAGTTATATTTTACAAAAATAACAAAAGAGAAATAAATAACTTTTCTAGCAACAAAAAATATATAAAATTGGGTGATTAAATTTGTATAAACTACAAAAAAAAAACTAAGAATTGAAATAGAGACTATAATTATAACTACAAAATCTAACCACATAAAAATCAAAATTAATCCTGAGAAGTAATTTTACCACAAACCATTATCCACTGATCACAAATTGAGCACAAAAAGATAGTATTTAATAGGCTCCAAATTATCTTTTTGTTTTTCTCTTACTCTCACTCTTTTTCTTTTTTGCTCTTTTAATAAAATGTCTTTTGTTTTTTTTTTCTTAAAGTAAAATTAAGCTATTGAAAACAATAAACAAAATAAAATACACAAACGAATATATGACATTAAGAGTTTGAATGTACATTAGGTGAAATATTGTGTAAACACGTGCATTATACATAATTATTGATATGTAGGGATAATACAATATATTAATTTTGTAAAAATAATATATAACATGTATTTATAAATGTATGTATATATATAAAATAAAATAGTAAACTGAATCTACTAAAATCCCAAAAAAAATAAAAAAACCAAATTTTAGAAGTCTTTTAAATCTATAATAATCATCTTTATATTAAAACAAAACTAATTTCAAAAAATATCACGAGGTAGATAACAGAACAAATCCTAAAACTCTTTTAAATTTGTATAAATTATACTTATATTAAAACAAAAATAATATTCAAAAACTATCCCGCGGCGGTGCGCAGGTTTCGACCTAGTAGCTTTAAAGATTGTATTTTTTTTTTCTAAATATATATTTTTGTTTAATATATTTATGATCGCTTAAATTTTTTTTTTTATAAAATGTCACTTTCTTTTTAATATGACTGTTTATCATTTTTATTTATGATTTCGTCTCTTTACCATAATTTTTATTATGCTCGTTTTTTCCATCTCACTGTTTTAGATAGTTGTATATTATTGCTATAGTTGTTTATGTCTAACATTTTTAGATTTATAACTTTATTTATTTCTTTAATTTTTAGATAACTATCAAGTTTGTTATTTATTTATTGATCATGATATAAATGTAAAACATAATTTGAAATGTTTAACTTTTTATTATAACTTATTTTTTGTATTTTTCACTATAGATCATTTTTTTTATAAGTTTTCATCATATATATTTTCATTAACATATGTATCTATTTACCACTCATATTTTTTCTAAATCTCTTTATTTCTTAAAAATAAAAATTGAAATATGTTAACTTTTCAATGAATCCATAATTTAACAACAATATTATTTCAATTATTC